ATGGTGAAAAAGAAATATCCTCAGCATGAAATCTGGAAAGAACGCCTTTCCTGAGATACTGCTTAGTGTTGATGGTTAATTCATCTTCACAGAGTTACATCGTCGGTGACTTTCGTGATCATCTTTGCTAGCTATTCTGTGGAATCTGAGAACAGATATTTCGGCATCCCTTTGAAGACTATTAGGGCCAAGAAATATCCTCCGAAACAAGGAGAAAGAATGCTTCTCTGCCGAAACTTCTTTGTGTTCCCTGTGAGAATCATCTCACAGAGTTACTTACAGCTTTCCCCCCTCAGAAGTCTTTCGCTTAAGCCAGTTCTTGTGGAAATTGGCATAGTGATATTTCGGAAGCCAATAGAGGGTCTATGGTGAAAAGGTACTATCCTTAAGATGAATCTGGAAAGAAGCTTTTCCTGAGTAAACTGCTCTGTGATGTGGACTTCACTAACAGAATTACATCTCTATTCGTGCGATCTCTTTGCTAGCACTTATTTCTGTGGAATCTGAGAAAGACTATTTCGGATCCCTTTGGAGACTATACCGGCCAAAGGAAATATCCTCCGATAACAAGAGAAAAAGCTTTCTGGAAACTTCTTGTGTTCCTGTGAAACATCCCCAGAGTTACAGCCTTTCTCCCCCTCAATGAAGCCTCAAGTCGCTAAGGCAGTTCTTGTGGTATTGGGCAAAGTGATATTTGGAAGCCCATAGTGGGGCTATGGTGAAAAAGGAGAATATCCTCAGATGAAATCTGGAAAGAAGCTTTCTGAGAAGACTGCTTAGTGTTCCTGTTTTAATTCATCTCACAGAGTTACATCTGATTTCGTGGATCCCCTTTGCTAGCCTTATTTCTGTGGAATGCTGAGACAGATATTTCGGATCCCTTTGCGAAGACACAGGGTCAAAGGAAATATCCTCCGATACACAAAAGAAAAAGAAGGCTTTCGGCGAAACTTCTGTGTGTTCTGTGAAATCATCTCCCACAGAGTTACGCCAGCTTTTCGCCGCTCAAGAGGCCTTTCGCTAAAGACACGTTCTTGTGGAGAAGAGGCCAAGTGATATCTCCCCATAGAGGAGCTTATGTGAAAGAAGGAAACTCCTCAGGATGAAATCAGGAAATGAGATTTCTAGAAACTGCTTAGTGTTCTGTTAATTCATGCTCAAGATTTACTTCTGTACTTCGTGGATCTCTTGATAGGCCTTATTTCGTGTGGAATCTGAGAACAGATATTTCGGATCCCTTTGAAGACATAGGGGCCGACAAAGTAAATATCTTCCGATAACCAAAGAGAAAGTAGCTTTCCTGAGAAAACTTCTTTGTGTTCTGTGAAAGCATGCTCACAGAGTTACCAGGCGTTTCCCCATCAACAGAAACGCTTCGCGGCTACGAGCAGTTCTTGTGGAAATGTGGAAAAGTGAGTATTTGGAAAGCCCATAGAAGGACTATGTCGGGCAAAGGAGAATATCCTCCAGTTGAAATGCTGAAAGAAGCTTTCTGAGAAACTGCTCTGTGATGCGTGTCGACCTTCCACTCACGAGAATTCACATCTGGTGATTCTCCGTGGATGCTCTTTCCCTAGTCTTATTTCTTGCGGAATCATGAGAAGCAGCTAGTTCGGATCGCCTTTTGAAGACCATAGGGGCCAAAGGAAATATCCTCCCGATAACAAAGAGAAGAAAAGCTTTCTGAGAAACTTTCTTTGTGCGTTCTGTGAAATCATCTCAGCAGAGTCTAGACAGCTTCCCCTCCCAAGAGCCGTTCGCATAAGCACAGTTCCTTCGTGATTGGTAACGTAGTTGTAGATAGTGGAAGCCCCATAGAGAGGCTACTGATTTATAATAAAGGAAATATATCCTCGATATGAACTTACTGTGAAAGAAGCTTTGTGAGAAACTGCTACGCTCGTCTCTGTTTAACTCATTCTCTAGCAGGAGTTATACCTATCTGTTCATCTCCCTCGTTAGACATCTCTCTGACTAGCCCAATTTTACTCGCGACATACGAGCAAAAGCACATTACGGAATCCCTTTGAACCGCACTATACACGGTCGGACTGAAAGGAGAGCAAAACAACCCGACTAAACAGAAGAGAAACAGAAGCTACGGCGAAACTTCGTTGTGTTTACATCCACACAAGCTAACACGCTTTCCTCCCACTCAGTCAATGTACAAGGAATAGCAACGCAACAACACATCAACCTTCCAGCTCACATGCGCTTCATAACACCGTAAGCCTTTCCATAACACAGACACTTCTACACCTTCTGGGGTAAGTGGCCAACATAGTGATTATTTTGCAGCCCCCTTTAGACCGCGCTATGGTGAAAATAGGCGAATATATGCCTCAGATAAATCTGAAATGATGGCTTTCTTGAGAAACTGGTTACGTGTTCTGTTAATTTTCATCTCACAGAGTTACATCTGTATTTTCGTTGGATCTATTTTCTACAAGCCTTTATTTCTTGTGGAATCCTGAGAACATGATATTTGATCGCCTTTGAAGACTATAGGGTAGGCACGCCAAGGAAATATCCTCTGATAACAAAGAGAAAAGAGCTTTCTGAGAAAGCTTCTTTGGTTGAGTGTTCCCTGAGAGATCCATCGTCGGGCCTCCTAGCCTATGTTGTCTCCTGGGCGAGCGCGGCGCGCTAGAGAGCAGACAGGGCCGATACATTAACAGAGAACTACGTTCTTGTGAACTGTAATGCGCCCACACACGTAGCGGCAACTTTCCAGCCCGGTCGGACGACGAGGAGACTCGTCCTCGAAAAAAAAAGAAAGAAAAGA